CATCGACAATCCCATCAAAAACCTGGCCCTTCTTGAATTTCACATTTTTCATGTTACCCAGAGGTTGACTCCAGCTGGGGGTGTTGGTAAAACCCAAGCGAGTCCGAACCTGCAATCCACCCTGAATGAGAACACCTTTTGAGAAAGCAAGTATATGTGAAATTTAATGGAAATGTCAGCTCTACTTATATCATCGTTAGAAAATTCAACTACCAGCCCTTATAACCTTAAACGAAATATGGTTAATAAAGATAATATAAAAGTGATTTTACATTCTTTTAAAATGAGATTCTTATATTAATTTATGATGTACTAGTCGTTATAAAATTCAAAGTAGATGAATCACCTCAAGCAATCTAGGATAAACAAGTTCTTATTCAAGAAGTACTAATAGTCTAGAAACATAAGTATGTCGAAAATAAGTAATGACCTGTTTGAATCATCAGCAACCCTAAAATGTGGGTTGGAATATGACTGAATGTCGCAAATGCCGTGACTTACTGGCACCTGTGGCCATGTAGCAGTGGTAACATCGCCACGAAACCCACGATACGATATTGGATCCCGCTGGGGGTGTTGATGAGGGCTAGGTGAGGTCGGAACTGCAGCCCACCCTGGATGAGATAGGCTTTGGGGAGATAAATCTAGATGAAATTCAATGGAATTGTGAGGAATACTTATCTCATTGTGGGAAAAATCAAACTATCATTCCTTAAATCAACTTGAGCGAGCTAGGGTGATTAAGTTCTTATTCAAGTAGGTACAAAGAGTAACTGGGTTCCGATGAATCCCCTGAGATAATATTGTTGGGGATACTTTCATTTTGTATGAATGTGAATTAGTATTAATGTGAAACTTTTTACAAGAATGAGTTCCAGCTCTGATTATGCCCATCATATGATGGACGAAAGACCAACCTATTTTTACTCGAAACGAGGGAAGATGTCTCGTAGACTGCGCCAACCTGAACGTCGTAGTAGAGCCAAACGGATGCAGTACAACGA